ATTTCATCAACACTCATCACTCATTTTAACATTTGTCCCTACACCAATATCCCAGAACAGGTACTGTGTACAGAATCCTGATATAATAGAGATTAGAAATTATGCTCAACCAACATCAGTATAAAAAACAATATATTTGGGTAGTATTAGACGTTATTTTAACCGTTTTTTTTAAGTAATTTAAACAGTATTTCTTCTGATTCTTTTATAGTTACTCAAAGGGATACTCCACCCCAAAATGAAAATGTTGTCATTAATCACTTACCCCCATTTCGTTCTAAACCCGTAAAAGCTTCGTTCGTCTTCGGAACACAATTTAAGATATTGTTTGTAAATGGTAAATGTCCCTACTTGACACATCTAGTGCACAAAGAGCTTGTGAAGCAGCCAGTGACGGGATGTTAACCCAGTCCTGCTGCAGAGCCTGATGGAGTTCCTGGGTCACGTCTCCAGGTGCTTTGATCCTGGGTGTCCCAGAGGTGCTGATCGCCTGCACACTCCTGAGGACAGCTGTGACCACAGCATCTGTGCGGCCTTCCATTGTTCTGCTGTTTGCCTCACAGATATAGTGTTTGCTGCACAATCTTATCATGACAACATCAATCAAATGGAGATACCTGCTGTACGTCTAACCAGAAGACCCTGACTGGGGCCAGTAGAATCATTTGGCCCTTTCAGTTCAAAATGTTGAATGCCCTAGAATGGCCTATAAGTTATAGAGCATCCTAACATTTGTGTCATAGCATCTGATGTGTGGTGAAGCTCATAATCTACATACACGAGTGGACTGACTACAATGTAAGACAACCAAGTTGTTTTACAGTTGGTTTGCATGCCAATTAAAGGCTTGGAAAATTGATGCTTTTACAATTAAAAACTATTACTTATTGATACAGCTTGCTATAATTCTGATATGAATGATCTTTAAAAAAAATGTATGACTCAAAACCTTTTGTTTTATTATATTTATTATTTCATATTAGTTACATTGACTATATTGATGAATTACAACATGGTTTTGTACGATATAAAATATTTTAAAATATCTATATTTTGATATTATATGATATTAATTTACTCATAACATGACTACTGTTCAAACGTTTGGGGTTGGTAAGATTTTTGGGAATTTCTTTTAAAGTATTATTGTGAATAATATTGTAAAATATGATTAGAATTTAAAATAACTGTTCATATATGAATATATAGCGAGAGAAAAAGGATTGATTGATTTTTTTTATGTACTTTTCAGAATTCATTCTAATATTTTATTTGGTTTTCTTATTATTGTCATTGTTGAGTCATAGTTGGGGTTAATATTTTTTTGGAAACTGAGGCATTTTCTTGTGGAGTTTTTATTTTACATTAAAATATTTTGTAACATTTTATGTTTAAAATATACTGTGGGTTTATATATATATGTACAATATACATTTTAAAAAAAGTATTAACACATAAAATTATAACTGACCCCAAACAATTATTAAATAATTATAGAAGAATTGTTAGTATGACCAAGATCGTACAAATATATATAATATAATAGGTTGTGGCAGGCAAAGTTTTTCCCTATTTTATATTGTACAGGCTTATTGACTATTTCAGAACATTCTTTGCTTTCTCTTCTCCTCTTACCCATGTGTTTTCCGCTCGCCCGAGTCGGAGCGTATCCTAACACGTTGTCACAGCGAGAGACAAGTGTTCACTTCCTGTCGGCGGTGTTAAAGGGGTGCAGAGCTTCTCACCTGTGGCTCGCTGATTATGACAGTGTAACATGGCTTAGCGGCTAATCCCGCCGCCATCTCTTATCTAACTCCGCAAACACCATCAGCATCACTTATCAGCGGTGACGCCTCCCCCACCCCGCTCCACACACATGCACACACTAACATCATTGGCGTTGGATTTTCTCTCGCCCATAACACATTTCGCCGTGCCCGTGTCCCGCGGCGAGTGTAATTTGGTGGAAACACAATAAAAATGGTAAGAGAGGGATCAGGCCAGGCAGGATCCATCACGCTGTGACAGCAGGAAACAGGAGCTCAGCCAGCCCTTACATGATTGAAGGCAGCATCACGTGACCGTCTCTTTTCCTTAACAGGAGGTGGAGCACCAAAGGTGCGAGGGGCGGAGGTGGCTATCGAGGCCCAATCGAGGGGCTTCCCGAGCTAATGGCCGCCTGCGACGGGAAAGAGGACAACTTCACGTCGATGGTGAAGGAGGTGCTGCAGCCCAATCAGATCTCTCAGGTGCGTCATCAGATGTACCCAAGATGCAAAGTAAACAGCACTCGGTTTACAAAGACTGCATTTCTTGACACCGTCGAACAAAGCATACTTGTATTGCAGTCATGTGGACGAATCGCCTCTTAACAACATAAACATTCAAATAAATTCCAATTCTCCACGCATTAGGCAGCGGGCACGAGCGCGTGATTTGCCGAAAGCGGCAGACAGTCACAGTGGTCTCAGGTAGCACCAAGATCTCCAATTACCTCCCAAATGAGAGGGTTTAGAGCTCCAATCTAAGTGCTAATTGCAGCGGTAATGCGAGCGTCCGAGCCCCATTAGTATTCCAGCGACCCCCCCTTCCTCTCGGCCCTGCTAATTAAATAAGCACATGCGCCGCCGCGTCCTCATCTCAGTCACTAAGGAAGCGTAATCCTTGCATAAATAGCTGTGGCGGGGTGATCTACACCATCTCCCATGTCTCTAATGCTAACAGAAGCACGGCAAGCAAACAGCCTGCACACAAACACATTCTTTTATTTGTTCATTATGTTTTGCCATATTCTTTGTTTTATTCTACGATCAATCAAAAGTTTGGAATAATTAAGATTTTTTTATTGTATAATTTTTTTTTTAAAGAAGTCTCATATGCTCCCCAAGGCTGCATTTATTTGATTTATCTGTATCCAAAAATGCAGTAAAAATTGTGAAATATTGTTAAAATGCAAAATATCTGTTTTCTATTTGAATATATTTTCAAATGTAATTTACTCTAGAGATGGCAAAGCTTACTCCAGTCTTCAGTGTCACATGATTCTTCAGAAATCATTCTAATATGCTGATTTGCTGCTTATATATATATATACTGTATATATCAAAAGAAAATGTATTTACGAAATATGATGTACCACCAACATTTTCTTTTTCAGACCCCTCTTTCTATAAAGGATATTTTGTTGGAATGTACTGGTTTAAATGCCGCTAGGCAACGTTTTTATTCAGAAAGTTCAGCAAAAGCTGTTTTCAGCATTGATAACCCTAGTAAAAAAAAGTCATATATTTAAAATAAATTTTTCATACTAAGTATAGTTCAAATCTATTAATGTATTTACTCACATATTGCTCAAGACTTACTGATATAAAAATTATAATTAAACTTCTTTTGGAGTACTACTTGTGCACAATGCATATTTCTTAATATTAAGCCTGAAATGTGTTTTAATGTCACTATATAATCTTTGAATAATATCAGTCTTTAAATGCAAGATATTTAAAGTGTACCTAAGGTATACTGGCAGTAGTTCCATTTTAGCACAATCAAATATGTGACCCTGGAGCACAAAAGCAGTCTTAATTCACTGGGGAATATTTGTAGCAATAGCCAAAAATACATTGTATGGTCAAAATTATCGATTTTATGCCAAAAATCATTAGGATATTAAGTAAAGATCATGTTCCATGAAGATATTTTACAAATGCCCTACCGTAAATATATCAAAACTTCATTTTTGATCAGTAATATGCATTGCTAAGAACTTAATTTGGACAACTTTAAAGGCGATTTTCTCAATATTTAGATTATAAGAAATGTTTCTTCAGCATATTATACTGATTTCTGAAGGATCATGTGACACTGAATACTGGAGTAATGATGCTGAAAATTTTGAGCACAGAAATAAATGACATTTTAAAATAGATTCAAATAGGAAACAGCTATTTAAAATTGTAATGATAATACTAGTGCTGTCAAACGATTAATCGCGATTAATCGCATCCGAAATAAAAGTTTTTGTTTCAGTAATACATGTGTGTATACTGTGTATATTTATTATGCATATATAAATACAAGCACATGCATGTATATATTTAAGAAAAATTGTATGTTTATATATTAAATATATTTATATATAATAAATGTATATACATGTAAATATTTTCAAAATATATACTGTATGTGTGTGTATTTATATATGCATAATAAATATACACAGTATACACACATACATATATTATGGAAACAAAAACTTTTATTTTGGATGCGATTAATCGCGATTAATCGTTTGACAGCACTAGATAATACACAATATTTCTGTTTTTACATTGCTTACTGTTTTTGATCAAATGAATACAGCCTTGGTGAGCATAAGCATAATTATCAAAACTTACAGAGGTAGTATTGCTAAATTTACCTGATATCAATCAAATTCGAGAAGAAGAAGAAAAAAAAGCATGTCCTCTTCATTGTGCTAATTCGGGGGTTCTTTGCACAGGCGTGGGCTTTTCTGAGTCACCTGCCGGTGGTGGAGGTCAGGATGAGTGTGAAGGGCTGGTGGGAGGGTTGTGAGGAGCAAACCGAGCGCGTGGTCCCTGCTAACGTCAGCAACATCAGAGACGAGTCCAGCTGGCTGCCGCTGCACGCTGACCAGGAGTACGTGCTCCAGGTGTCCCTGCGCCGCCTCAACGCCGGCCAGCAGAGAGTGAGTCCACCACTTCATTCACTGTTTTCTTTTCATTGTCTAGCCATTTAATCAATATTGATTCCATTCTTTTCAGAGGAAGCAGGACAGCAAGGCACAGGCGCCACACTTCGCCAAACCCAAAGACGAAGGCTGGTTTCTTGTTCTCGGGGAGGTGGAGAAGAAAGAACTGCTGGCTATACAAAACTTACAGAGGTAGTATTGCTAAATTTACCTGATATCAATCAAATTCGAGAAGAAGAAAAAAAAGCATGTCCTCTTCATTGTGCTAATTCGGGGGTTCTTTGCACAGGCGTGGGCTTTTCTGAGTCACCTGCCGGTGGTGGAGGTCAGGATGAGTGTGAAGGGCTGGTGGGAGGGTTGTGAGGAGCAAACCGAGCGCGTGGTCCCTGCTAACGTCACCAACATCAGAGACGAGTCCAGCTGGCTGCCGCTGCACGCTGACCAGGAGTACGTGCTCCAGGTGTCCCTGCGCCGCCTCAACGCCGGCCAGCAGAGAGTGAGTCCACCACTTCATTCACTGTTTTCTTTTCATTGTCTAGCCATTTAATCAATATTGATTCCATTCTTTTCAGAGGAAGCAGGACAGCAAGGCACAGGCGCCACACTTCGCCAAACCCAAAGACGAAGGCTGGTTTCTTGTTCTCGGGGAGGTGGAGAAGAAAGAACTGCTGGCTATCAAACGTGTGGGATTTATACGCAACCACAGCAGCGTGTCCGTGGCCTTCTACACGCCTGAGAAGACGGGGAAGTAAGAGCCGTCTGCTGCTACTCTGATGGCGTTTTTTTGTAGTATCTACTGTCTTAACGTCTGAATCTTTCTCCAGGTGTATCTACACGCTGTACCTGATGAGCGACAGCTACCTCGGCCTGGATCAGCAGTACGACATCCACCTGAACATCATCCCAGCCAGCATTGCTGCGCAAGTCAACAGTGAGATATCAGATAACGCTGGCAAAAAAGCCCCGAAGTGACCTCGCGCAACTAAACCAAAGTTTCCCTCTTGGCTTGAGATGTGAATTTGATGGACAGCTCTTCGGTTCTCTTCGTGAAACTACACTGAATGGGTGCCAACTTTTTGCTTTTTTTTCTGGTTCAATTCAACATTTTGATGGTTAGAACATCTGGGCCCAAACAGTCATAGATTTGATATCTAACACTTTCGAATGAGAGATCAGATGGTTGTAATTGATTCAAGAGGAACCTTCTGAGAATCAGCCTCATCTGTTTCTCAGACGGTCACTCTTCCTGCCTTATTACTCTTTTTACTCTTATTTTGTGCTGCTGCTGCTTCTTTTTTTTGTACACTCTGCATTACGGGCGAAGGTTATGTTTGTCTAATTAAAATATAAACATAAAAAGATTGTTTTTGCTTCTGAATTATGGAAATATTCAGTACGAAAATCAATTTGGTTAAATAGAAAATAAAAGCACGTGCAGCACAGTTGTATTTATCAGTCTATCAATTGTTTCCATTCTTTCCTAAGTGCCCACATTTGCATAGCATTGGAATTGACTGTGTTCAGCAGTTATTCACAGGCCACGTGTGTTTAGTTTTTTTGTTACCGAGGTCAAATAGTCAGCACATGCTTGTTATTATTTACCAAGTCACCCCTTAGGGGAAAAATGACTTTTATGCGAGAATATAAAGATGTTCTGGAATTTTTCGATAATAAAGTAATACATTTAAGCATAATATTTTATTAGTATTAGTGGATGTTGAGGTTTGACTAAAGCAAACAGTAGTCAATCATAATGTTGGTCATGATAATTTGCAAAATGATCAGTTTATGTTCTATAAATAAAGTTGCTTTAAGACCAGACAAGACAGCATCTCTTACAACCCCTTTTCTGATATATGCTTGCTTAAAAAATTAAGTATTTTGCTGTCTCTGACTAACACTGTAATTAAAAATCCTAATTGTTTAATTGTTTTAAAGCGTTCATTTATTGCCAGTGGTTTTAATGGCAATGGTTTCGAGTCCCTACTGAGGACTTCATATATTGTAAAGTATTTTCGATTGTTCTCTTTTCCACTGACGCCGTTTAATCAGCAGCAAATTCAGGCTTTAGGAAAAGGTTAAAGCAGCATCAAGCGTTTCGTGTGCTGGGCGCATCCTTTCTGATTTTCTCCTGCTGCAGGTGGTTTTCTATTACAGTCACAGACTGCTGTCCTCCTGAGATACACACACACACACACACAAAGAGCTTTTGGCATTCAGATTTTTTTTTCATCAACATTTGCTGCATAAAAAAAAAATTCCCCCCTTAAATATTTTATGATTTTAATCATTTATAATCATTTTTATCATAGTAACACAATAAATCATTCACCATATTGATATCACAAAAAGACCAGGATTTAAAACAGTGGAAGAGCTTTTGGCATTCAGATTTTTTTTTCATCAACATTTGCTGCATAAAAAAAAATTCCCCCCTTAAATATTTTATGATTTTAATCATTTATAATCATTTTTATCATAGTAACACAATAAATCATTCACCATATTGATATCACAAAAAGACCAGGATTTAAAACAGTGGTTATATCTACATAAAATAAGAAATATTAGCAAAACTAAAGTCAGGACAAAATGGCTGGCTCTTTATTCAGCAGGAGACTGATAGGAAGAAGAGTGGGATTTACTCCCATAATCACTGATTTCCCTCTTACCCTCTGAATCAACACTGTTGTTTTCTTTCATGGACAGCAGATCTGCCTGCTTGAGTTTTGCTGTATTTGTATTGCTTCACAATCCTTTTAGTTAAACCGTAAGAAAATAGGACCATAATAATAACTGCGTTCAATTATAAGCAACGTTCTATGTAATATGCCTTCAAAAAATAAGCACGTACATTTTATTTATAAGTAATGCATATTTATAGATATGTAGTTTTACATATTTGCACATTTAAATATGTATTGTATTCATATTTTTATGTTGGATATTTTAGGTGATTGATTAATGCTCTTATTTTAAGAAAGGGATTTTTTTAGCGACAATTCCGCTATTTTAATTTTGCAGCAATTTAGCTTCTAGATAGATAGATAGACGGGCTGCACGATTATGACAAAAATCGCAATTGTCGATTATTCCCTTGAAATTGTAATTGCGATCATTAATTACGATTATCACAATTTACATTGAATGATGTTTATACCATTGTTTGATGCAACTGCATGCCGTATTTTTTATATGAAAATAAGCTAAAAACACTCTTGTAGTGCTTTTCTATAGTATTAAGCCTCAAATGTCATTTATACATCGGATCGGTTACTTCTTTAAATTATAAAAAAGTACAAATATGAATGGTAGTATAATGTTTTACTAAAACTACAATTAAAATAATGGGGGGAACCCTTAAGATAACATGTAGAAAGAAAGAAAAAAACGAATCTTAAGCACGCAGAATAACATAAGTGGACTTTGAACGATTAATTGCCGCTTTGAACGATTACGTAATTGTGGCATCCATAATTATAATCGCGATTAGAAATTCGATTAATTGTGCAGCCCTGATAGATAGATAGAGAGAGAGAGAGAGAGAGATAGATAGATAGATAGATAGATAGATAGATAGATAGATAGATAGATAGATAGATAGATAGATAGATAGATAGATAGATAGATAGATAGATAGAGTCAGTGAACTTTAAATGTAAATATTATTCATAGAGCGCTACGGGTGAGGGGTCAACATTTCTAACAAATCGGGATTTCACATGGAGCGGCCGCTGTGAATGGGATCCAATGGGAAAATCCCGTCTGGTCCTTCAGTGTCCAATGAGCTGAGATCAGGGGGAGGGTCCGTCTGCTGCTCTGACAGAAAGAGACTTCACCAAACTCTCCTCCAAACAAGATCCTTCTGGATACAAAGATGCCATGTTTGCTGTGGAATTCGGCGTGAATTAACGCGTGAACGCAGCTCTGGATCTTTCTCGTTGTGGAGTTATGAACTTGTGAAGACGATGCAAGTTTGCAGTGTGGTCTGATGTGAGGTAAGAAGACGTGCAAGTTTCAACCTATCGAAAAGTTATAGTACTTAAGCAAAATATGAAATTATAAAGGCAATTTAATCAAATACGTTCAATGTCATCTAACATGAATAGATATGGAGCAGATATAAAGAAAAACTGCAGAAAGAAAATGCGTAGTTTATATTAACATGATCGTAAACGCTTTTAGTAGTAGTTAGTAGTAGTAAATATAAGTTTTGATATGGTAGCCAGTTTCATAAATCAGAGCGTGCATTTCAAAGTCGGAAGAGAAATGAACGCGCGCTCTGCTGTTTTCCCTGCAGAAAGAAAATGCGTAGTTTATATTAACATGATCGTAAACGCTTTTAGTAGTAGTAGTAGTAGTAAATATAAGTTTTGATATGGTAGCCAGTTTCATAAATCAGAGCGTGCATTTCAAAGTCGGAAGAGAAATGAACGCGCGCTCTGCTGTTTTCCAGGAATATTATGCGCGTCTGATGGATGGAACTTCCCTTATGAAGAGATTCCGGGCCCGAGTGGATTTCATGTGTGTGTAAAATAAGACTCACGGCGGATGAAAGAAGCTAATCATAACCATGAAGCTCTGTTCGTCGCACATCTGCGTGTAAGACATCTCAGGAACATCCGTAAATTGCTGGGAGCTGGCGATGGCAGGAACGCTTCCAGGACGTCTCTGAAACCTTCCCATGTTGGTGAAACTGCTCGAGATATCTCACGCATGCGGTTGAGTTTGTGTTGTGGAGAGATTGAAGCGCACAGCAGAAGGGTCTGAGACACCTGTCAGTGACAGCGAGCATGAAGGAGAAGTCGAAGAACGCGGCGCGGACGCGGCGGGAGAAGGAGAACAGCGAGTTCTATGAGCTGGCCAAACTGCTGCCTCTGCCCTCGGCCATCACCTCACAGCTGGACAAAGCCTCCATCATCAGACTCACCACCAGCTACCTGAAGATGAGGATCGTCTTCCCAGAAGGTGCGTCAGTCATTACCCATGCAGCATCTTCTGCGAACACACGGCATCTGTCAATAATTCATTCATTTTGGGAAGCCTGTAGCATCATTATCATTGTTCTTGTCAGCAATAATAATAAACAATATGTTATTAATAATACAATGCAAATATTATTGTTATTAATTCAATTCAAATGTATTTGTATAGCGCTTTTCACAATACGCATGGTTTCAAAGCAGCTTTACAGAAATGTACTGATGTTTTTAGTAGTATTGGCGCTGTATATTAATAATTAATATATTATTATTATTATAAAAACTGATAGGCCTATATTATTTGTTTAAAATTATTATTTTATTTCACTAGTAGGCCTATTTTACTGATAGGCCCTAAAGAACAACTATTTTTCAATAGGAAAATGCACATGATTTACAGAAAAGATAAGAGCGAAATCATTCTCAAACAACATGCATCACCAAAGCGCAGTATTAATAAAAGTAATTAAGACGTTTTAATAGAGTTTTAGAAGGCCCGTCCGTTTTTAAAATGCAAACACGACGCGAAAATATTATGGGCGTTGCGGCCTGGCGCTTTTTCTTTTCTTTTTTTAAGCAACAAATAAATATTCTTTCGTGATTTAAAAAAAACCACAAACATATAAAAGTGAATTTCATTAAAGCAAGGAGACTGAGTGTAGGCTATTCGAGTGTAGTTCCCGACACTCGGACATCATAATGGTTCTGATTATTAGCGTTATTTTCCACCTTCTGCTCTGCGTGACTGAAAAATAATAACTCCAATTATCAGCGTCCCATCAACACCTGACTGTCGCGTTTAAACACACGACATCAGTGCGTACACGAAACTAGTATTACTATTACCGGTATTATTAATTACCGGTATTATTAAAAAGAACAGAACAATAAAAAGGGATCGTGGGTTTGTGGATAGCCCTATATGCCATCACTCAGCACGGGTTTAAGACATTTAAACACGACATTTCATCAGTTACAAAATCCTGGAGGCCAAACTGATCGTTTGTGTGCGACAAGTATACTAATATCAAGAAAAAAGACAACTTTAAAGTGAGTAAAAAAATGTGCCAGTCCCCCTTTTAGTTGCATTTTCACCAATGCACGCGCGACTCTTTTTATTTAATTATTTTGTGTATTCTGTGTTTAGGTTAATATTAGGCTTATTTACTGTTAGATATACATGATGTAGGCTATGTTACATGTTATAATGTAATGACTGATTAACATGATTGAAACCTGCTGTAGCCTAAAAACGTCTTTTCATCAAACGGCTCGGTCTTTGATAACAGATCAAGAGAAAGCGGGGAATATGATTAAAGTAATAAATGTACTGATACATTTATATCCGCGTTAATTAGATGTAATTATTCGGCTCGCAGTGTGTGGATATGCCAGGATTGGAAACAAGCATATGGTCAAATCTAGCCGCAGGATGGACACTAAAGTGTAGCATGTTACCATCCTCGGGACTGCACCGTGTGCTTTACTCATTAGATTGTAAATGCATGTTTTTAAACGTGAATGAAGCTGCTGGCCCGGGTTAAAGGTCAGTGAGGTCACGGTACAGACAGCTCACATGTAGTGCTGGAGGAAATGAGACAGTAAAGATTTATTAGAATATGAAGGAAGGTGAAGCTGGTTTTATGGTGGTTATTTATTGCTGGGCTGTGAAGAGAATAACTCTGACGGACACTGCTGTCAAATAATAGTCCAATATTGCACCAGTTTAATAATACAGCTTTATTGCGATAGGCGTTGTTTTCTGTTTTTATTCGTTTAGTTTATTTTAATAAGTCTGCTATTACGGGTTTTCGGAATTTTTGTTTATTAGCTATTATTGTTATCAGTGATTCCACTTGTTTTGCGGTTATTCGAACATTAAAAATGGCAGAAGCTTGTTTATAACGATCGTTTACTTTAGAGAATAGAATAGGAATATTTGTAATTTCGTGTGAATAAAAGACATTGTGTCGGAATACATTTCGGGCCTGTGAAAATAAGTGTTCTCAGCAGCGCCTAAAGAAACGGGTTTTATTTTATTAATATTATTTTATAAGATTTATTTTATTCAGTTTCTTGTCTTGCGAGCAATTTTTGAAACATTTCCGCAAGAGATGCAATTGTGTATTCGTTTGTGTGAAGTGCTTTACTATTATTACTTAGCCTCTGTAAAGTTCGTTCTGTGATTAGCTCGCGGATATCCAGATCCAATCATTTCCCTGCGAAATATCGGAATTAACTTTTCTTTTCGGATCCATCGGCATTGGCGTGCATTTGGATCCTCAGAAGCGCTTTCCGCCCACTAACAATTATTATTGTTATTGGGAGCAGTTATTACTGTTTCGACAATTTTTTATTATTGTCGTTTTATATTATTATTATTATCATCATCATCGTTTAATAAACCTAAATATTTGTATCATAAGCTGTAATTAGAAAGCACAGTCTGAGTGGTCGAATGAATTATAGCTTTCACGGAATCTTAATCTTAAAATATTTGATTTGTTTAGGCTATACTTTTCTTTAGCCAGTTTAAAAATAAAAATGAAAAAACCCCGCCGTCAAGCATGTTTCCACGGAAGGTTTCTCCGAGCGGTTATCGGCTCTGGAAGAATGCGGTTATATTTCAGTGAGCTGTTTGAGCAGTAATGTGATTGTTTCTGCTGGATAAACGCGGAGTCCATGTTTGTGTAATATTAAAGTGGAATCAGAGCTTTTGATGTTTGTTTTCGTGTGATTTGCATTTCAATAAGGGTTGTGTGTGTCAGACTGTTTGCTTTATCGAGTTTCTCCGGCTGTGCGGGACCACCATAAACACTCCTCATTTACATTCAGCGTGTTTACAGTCAGTTCAGTGTTCAAATATTGACTGACTGATCGTCAGATGACGATAGACTATTGTTTTTGCTGTAGTTATTTTTGTGTGTGTTGTTGTAAGTTTTAATATGCTTTTTCCGTCAAATCGAATTTCATATTCGAGATATTTTATGTAGGCTAGACTATGCGCTTAGACTGGTTTTAGCTTAGCTCTTTTCAGCACCCGGTTGGATTGTCAGATATTTAAGGCTCATCATAATAATTCATTTTTTAATTTTTAAGCTGATAAGCTGAGGTGTTTTGAATGAATACGTTCCGCAGGTCTCGGGGAGTCTTGGGGCCATGTGAGTCGAGCGAGTTCTCTTGACAATGTGGGCCGAGAGTTAGGATCACATCTGCTTCAGGTACACACTTTCAAATTCTGTACTTGCCTATTATTATTATTATTATTATTATATGTAGGCCTAATAATTAAAATATTATAATTCTGGAATCGAATTCTGAAACTATTCTATAGAACTTTTTTAATGATCGTATATATCTACTTAGAATTCGTCTTACAGTTACAATTTTGCATTGCTAGTGGGTCTGTTCCACGATAACCGTTAGGCCGTCTAAAATATAAATATTTGTCATTTGTTGTGTTTCTTGCGAAGATTTTGTTTCACAATTTATTTAAATGATTACATTGTTTTTTTTAAGTGCTTCCTGCATCTATTTATAATATGGAATATGAAAGCTTAATTGTATCTCCTGATTCAGATGTTGAATGTTACCCGAATTACATCTTGTTTTCAATGAAAAAAAATTAAATAAAAATAATAATAATTGATTTCTTAGAGCTAGTGATGCTTTCATAATATAAGAACTAGTTAATGTAAATAAAGGCATTCATTATAATTTTTTTGTATTTCTTTAGACTTTGGATGGCTTCATTTTTGTGGTAGCTCCTGATGGAAAAATCATGTACATTTCTGAAACTGCATCAGTGCATTTAGGGTTGTCACAGGTAAAGTGCACATTTTCATATTTACTGCTGAATTATTTGATTTCTAGCCTATTTATATTCAGCCTAGATCACACTATTTCTGGCAGCTTTGACTGCAATGACAAAAGTCCATTTTAACAGGTAGAGCTGACGGGGAACAGCATTTATGAATACATCCACCCCGCAGACCACGACGAGATGACCGCAGTCCTGACGGCTCACCAGCCGTATCATTCACACTTTGCGGAGCTCACTGGCTACGAGCCGCAAGACTTAATAGAGAAGACACTTTATCACCACGTCCACAGCTGTGACACTTTCCATCTCCGCTGCGCGCACCACTTGTGTGAGTTAGGTTTGTTTTTCCTCATTCCTCTGGCCACGTCTCCTTTACAGCATCTAGCTGCTTTAGTGATGACTGACATCGCTCACCGTCACGAGGGTACAACTGAGCGTGCTAATTGATAATATCACGTTACAGGAGATGAATATGATTTCCCTGTCTCAACATACTGATATGAGCATGAGCTTAGATTACACATGCAATCAATTAGTAACTAAATTAGTGAACCGCATTGAAAATTAGAATTTTTTTTCTACACGTTTAGTCCTTAAAAACACAATTTTCTATGATCAATTATCCATTGTTTTATCTATCACATTCCTGATTGCAGTACAACGCAGCTTATTAAGCGAAAAAATATTTGACATTATTTGCTATAAATAGTTATTAAGGCTGAAAGAAAAACGGCAGTTTATGGTTTAAACATGCAAATGAAAGCAATAATTAGCTTTCCTGAATAAAAAAGATGAAATGAACCACACACAAAACCATCAAAAAAAAATCACAATGTTGCTGATGAAAGTAGACAAATTAATGAATCGTTTTTTTTTTCTTCTGTTTTGCAAAAGAAGCGTATGTGAAGTGAACGTATATCAGAAATGTTCTTTAATTGATTGTGTGTGTTTCTCTCTCTGTAGTGCTGGTAAAAGGACAAGTCACCACCAAATACTACCGATTCCTGGCTAAGCAGGGTGGGTGGGTGTGGGTACAGAGTTATGCTACTATCGTACACAACAGCAGATCGTCCAGACCACACTGCATCGTCAGCGTCAACTACGTCCTCACGTGAGTACACTATATAAAGATGTGTTACTAAAGCTTTTTATGCCTCTTTAAATATGCATCTTCAAAACAGCATGAGATCTTTATACACTGTTGTTTTATTTTCATTAATTAAATTCAGATAATGAACACTGAATTCTATGAAAGGCTATAAAGTCATGTACTTATTTTCATGTTCATAGTTTATTTTATATATATATATTTGCATTTGTAACCCCTAGTTTTACATTTCTGAGTACTTCATTGTTTCCAATACAGACAGCCTGTATAAAGAATATAAACCTTTAAAATAACTGAATTCCATATTAATATATTTTTAAATCTAATTTATTCCTGTGATGCAAAGCTGAATTTTCAGCAGCCATTACTCAAGTCTTCAGTGTCACCGACATCTATTCTAATATGCTGATTTTATGATCGAGAAAGATTTTTTATTTTGATCAATGTTGAAAATGGTTTTGTTTTTTCAGGATTCTTTGATGAATATACAGTTCAACATTATACAAGTCTTTACTGTCACACTTAATCAATTTAATGCATCCTTTCTGAGTATTCATTTATATAAAAAAAAACAATTACTGACTCATGATTTCCTGATTTGAACATCATTTTTAAAAACTAAACATTTTTAAATTACTTAATGTACTTGCACCGTAACATGGGATAATTAAATTAAAACCTGGAAACAACTTCAGCGGTCACACTTTAGTTTGGGAATCAATTCTCACTATTAACTAACTATGACTTCTGCCTCAGTAAACTTCTAGTTTGCTGCTTAATAATAGTTAGTAAGGTAATTGTTAAGTTTAGGATTAAGGGATCTAAAATATTGTCATGCAGAAAAAGGCATTAATATGTGCTTTATAAGTATACTAATAAACAGCCAATATGCTAATAATATGCATGCTAATAAGCAACTAGTTAATTGTGAGAATTGGTTCTTAAAAAAAAATTTGTTACCACTTCAGATATACCCTCAAATTGTTCAATAATGCAATAATGCATACACAAACTTGAATCCATTTGTACATGACTAACATGCATGCAGTGTATTAGGCAAAAGTGTAGTAAGCCATATCATTTCTTAAAGCTTCTGTCTACAGTTGTGTTGAATTGCCCACATTATTCCACTATTACTCCGCTAAAAGGCCCCTCTTAGTGACTTACAACTAGCAATAGGTTCAATACAATATCATTAAGGTTCAAATTTATGGTGTTTGCAAGTCCACCCATGACAGTGACTGAGCGTGTTAAAGCTGCCCTGATGCTCATCAGACAGTTTGGGGTGTCATTCCTGTTCTTGCTTTATATAATATGCCAGCTGCATGCACAGGAACTGCATGGGAGCCAGGGGCCGTGGATGATTTATCTGTCATGCATTCATACTGACAAACTCCGTGCATTACCACAATGAACATTTCCACTGGAACTCTCTGGAAAGAATGAGGTAGGATTGAGCAATGGAGACATCGCTCACACTACGGTTTTGAGCGAGGGACGTATGGAAGAGTGAAAAGCAGCATTTGTGCGCACACTTTCAGAAAGCCCATTAGAACTGATGCCAGCATCTGGAGCATCGACCCCCACCCGCAGCCCCACTCGTTCTCCCTCCTTTGCTATCTGTCTGTTACAGATGTAAATTAATTGCACACCATAAAAACCATTAAAAAAGTGGATTGGTTTTAATATGCCAGTCTGCCAATGACCCCCACCCGCAGCCCCACTCGTTCTCCCTCCTTTGCTATCTGTCTGTTACAGATGTAAATGAATTGCACGCCATAAAAACCATTAAAAAAGTGGATTGGTTTTAATATGCCAGTCTGCCAATAGCCTGCAAGTGTCAGATAGCTCTTCGGCCACAGCTATAAAAGAAAAGTGTTTATGAGGTTTAATTAATAGGTTGTAAAGATGATGAGTGTTTATAGCTCACAGCTTGCTAAGAGTGTCCATGAATGGAGTTCTTCTTTTTTTTGTGATATTCCCTGCCATCATCCATGATTCAGTTTCCTTGAGAAGAATGATTTCCATAAAAGCGTGCGTTGCAGTGTAGACATCACGAGTGCGAGATTTGTTTCCTGTTTAACCTTTCCACATGTGCTCTCATTCAGAAATGCACAGCTAGTCTTTAGTGAGAAAGGGAAGTGAGGTGGATATGTCTGGCGTCTTATCGAGGTGTTATCAGAGTCTACTCACATGGGCTGTGAGGTGTGAAATGAGATGGTGTGTGTGTGAGAATGGCAGCTCAGCTGAATGAGATTGTGTGTATGCGCTAAACCACTCACACCGGCCAACCTGTTGCACTTTAAGGGTCTTGGTTTCTTTCTACAGGCCCTGACCTCGGAAAAACTCTGTGTTTACATAGAGCATACAACAACGGTGTCAACTTCATGAGATCGCATGGATCTGCGAGTGCATTTGTGCGGGTGCATGTGAGAAAGTGTATGTCGGTCTTTTTCCAAGATGTTGCCATCTGCATGCAATCCCATTAGTCTGCGTGCTGTCTGAGCCAGACTGCTAGGCCTCAGGAGGGAAGCTGGCATCGGCGCCTGGCTAGCATACGCTCCAGCCATCGTTTTCTGAAAGTTATACATCACTGGGAACAGAAATCCATACACCACTTTACTGAGAAATCAATTCCCATTTCCTAGTTATGCCTTATGTGGTGATCCCTGTGTGGGTTTGATTTAGCCAGACATAGCTCTTAATCTCACTGTGTATTTGAACAGAGCCTCCAGCCCTCTGCCGTATGTTTGTAGGAGCCTTGTTCCAATCCTGCAGGAGAAACAATGCAATTCATTTTCTGTCCTTGAGTCTTCCTCACACACTACTTCACAAATGAGCATGGAGCCTGAAGTATCAAAAAAAATGCCTGACCATACATTTCTCTGAGTCGTAAACTGAAAAGGAAAAATGCACCAGTAAACAGTAATACCGAGACAAGCAGTCGCAAACCATGAAGTTGCACACACTGTTGGGTTCGAGGCTAAATGTTGCTGTCATTCCCCAACAGGGACACGGAGTACAAAGGACTACAGTTGTCCTTAGATCAGGTGACGTCCGCTAAACCCTCGTTCACCTACAACAGCCCCTCTAACCCCATCAGTGAGAACAGAAGAGTTGGCAAAAGCAGAGTCTCCCGTACCAAGACCAAAACAAGACTCTCTCCCTATTCACAGGTCAGTATCACAGTAATGCCTTCCATTTGGATGGTAATGGTATTTTGGGAGCTCTAGTAAGGTCTTCTGTTGCTGGGAAGACTTCAAATGTGATTTACACAACTAGGACATGCCTAGTCGTTCCTTAAGTAACATTTCCATAAATTAATCATTACCTTCTAATTTTAGGTGTTGGGTTAGGGATAGGGTTAAGGGCTGGAACAACATGCAATCATTGCGCTATCATTTTAAGGGTAGATTTGAGGGAAGGTTGAAGGATATATGTAGGACTCGGATTGGATGATAGGATTGTTGGATGTTGATCCAGCGGCATGTTCTATGTGTGTAAATCACACTGTGCACAATATCAGCTTTGCCCTCAGTGATAAAGGGCAATTGTGTTACTGGAGGCACCGCAACACTACACATTTTCAGACTCTTCCTAATCAAATACACCAGAATCAGCACATTAGCAGAAACTCCAAGTCATGAAATGGGTGGATCAGATAAGAGAGACATCCAACGTGTGTACTGTTGGCGTGCCTCCAGGAGCATGGTTAGGAAACACTGTATTAATGCATATTTGTTTCTTTTGTGCAGTATCCGAGTTTCCCCACAGATCGCTCAGAGTCAGATCAGGATAGCCCGTGGGGAGGAAGCCCACTCACTGACTCTGCATCTCCTCAGCTTCTGGAGCAGTGTGAAGGCATAGACTCCTCATGCGTGTACCGGCAATTCACGGAACCACGCCCGCTGTGCTACAGCCTACCGCTGACAGATGACCATCATACCTCCAGTGACCTCTACGGCCACACTCACTCCGAGTCCTGTGAGAGTGGTCGCTGTAAGGCTGGCCGATACTTCCTTGGCACCCCTCAGCCTGGACGAGAGGCATGGTGGGGTGCAGCCCGCTCTGTTCTCCCATTGCCCAAGTCTTCGTCCGAGAACGGGGACAGTTTTGAAGGTGTGATGCCCCACATCACCTCTATCCATAGCCTGCAAGGTGTGTTTCTTTCAGTGTTTCTATTGTTAGAAACCAAATGTTTTTCATTTTGGTTTGTTCTGAGCAGAAACTATAGGTTTTGGCTATCCACGGCCTCCTCAAACCAGGTTAGAGCAAAGTAAAAGTTTACAGGCAGGAGCATTCTGAAAAACGTACGAAAACAAGGACCTAGAAGAACTAAATTTCTCATTTGGTAATAAATAATAGCTCTTGCAAAGGAGAAAGACTTAAAATAAAAAACTCCTTTCAGAAACCCATTAAATAATGATTCTCCACTCATCTGTCTGTCTACAGCCTTGCTCCTGGAGATCTACTTTCCAGTAGACTTCAGTTCCAATCCTGCATTAACACACCTGCCTGAATTTTTCAAGTAACATCTTGATTAGCTGGTTCAGGTGTGTTTGATTGGGGTTGGAGCGGAAACCTGCAGGACTATAGCTCTCCAGAAACAGGGCTGGAGATCCCTGCTGCAGACAGTATTTTACAAATGTGCTGTTCTGGTATATTAAGCCCTTGACTTTATCCAATTAATTTTTTTATTTTCACATTTGCATTTGGGTTACTGAATTGTTGGATCGCAATACTTTAAGCGACACAATAAGCTGCACGTGAATTTAATTTGTGGGATTTTGTTTTTCATTTCTTTCGTTTTTGATGCAACAATTCTACATTCACGGCCTCAAATTCCATCCAGGTTTTTTTTGTCATTTACCCTCTATACTTGAGACACAGCAGTAGCCTGATTTTAACCAGTCCATCTGTGGCATTGGGGAAAAATAAAATTTATTATTACAAGAAAAACTGAAGTAGCATGCTGAGTACCAGAGAGTAACAACTAAGTCTAATGCAAAATGCAGCATTCATTTATTATTGTTTCAGTAATTGTTTAAGGTTATTGTAGGATTCAATCTTAGCTCATTTGTGTACTGGAATACTTTTTGTAGTTGCATATGCTGTCCATCTGTGTTTGGACCCAATTTAGTCTTTTAAGTCAAAGGCTTAAAGATTCAATTTGAAACTTTTATTTTCTTAAACAAGAAATTGGTTGAGCACATTATTGTGTTGTGTGACTTGAACAAATGATTTAAAATATATAAGCATTTTTGTCCTTCGGCAACATGTCAGCTTTTAAAATGAAAAAACAATTATGCAATTATGAAACATCTGATTTTCTTCAAACAAATGGAACAATAATAGGAATGAACTAAATGAGGACTCTTGCGCTGGTTCGATTAGAAAGTGTGGATATGTGTTTTTGGCCTGAAGAGTGATTGACTGCTGTGGTGCTGGAGGGCTTTGAGTCGAGCTGCTGCTTGGTGTATTGAGGTTCCACACCGGAGGAGTCCAAAGTCTGATATGGACATTAAAGGGGGACTTTTCTGACAAGACTCTACCCTGTACCTCACTACTTCTTCATGTATTTATAAAAAAATAAATAAAAACTGGCTCTGTGTGGAAAGCTGTTTTTCTCTGAATGAAAAATGTATGATGTATATACGCAAAATTCACCCCCGCCTCCCACCCACACCAAATAAAATGATGCAAAAAGGCATTGCAAAATGTATTTATTATGTGAATGAAAAATGTATTTTGTTTTAAAATATCACAGTGTGTGTGTGTGTTTATTTATAATTTTCAGTTCTGCATAATTTTTTTTATTTTCACATTTGCATTTGGGTTACTGAATTGTTGGATCGCAATACTTAAGCGACACAATAAGCTACGCGTGAATTTAATTTGTGGGAATTTTTTTTCATGTTCAATAGTTTTTTTTTTTTTTTCATTTCTTTCGTTTTTGATGCAACGATTCTACATTCACGGCCTCAAATTCCATCCAGGTTTTTTTGTCATTTACCCTCTATACTTGAGACACAGCAGTAGCCTGATTTTAACCAGTCAATCTGTGGCATTGGGGAAAAATAAAATTTATTATTACAAGAAAAACTGAAGTAGCATGCTGAGTACCAGAGAGTAACAACTAAGTCTAATGCAAAATACAGCATTAATTTATTATTGTTTCAGTAATTGTTTAAGGTTATTGTAGGATTCAATCTTAGCTCATTTGTGTACTGGAATACTTTTTGTAGTTGCATATGCTGTCCATCTGTGTTTGGACCCAATTTAGTCTTTTAAGTCAAAGGCTTAAAGATTCAATTTGAAACTTTTATTTTCTTAAACAAGAAATTGGTTGAGCACATTATTGTGTTGTGTGACTTGAACAAATGATTTAAAATATATAAGCATTTTTGTCCTTCGGCAACATGTCAGCTTTTAAAATGAAAAAACAATTATGCAATTATGAAACATCTGATTTTCTTCAAACAAATGGAACAATAATAGGAATGAACTAAATGAGGACTCTTGCGCTGGTTCGATTAGAAAGTGTGGATATGTGTTTTTGGCCTGAAGAGTGATTGACTGCTGTGGTGCTGGAGGGCTTTGAGTCGAGCTGCTGCTTGGTGTATTGAGGTTCCACACCGGAGGAGTCCAAAGTCTGATATGGACATTAAAGGGGGACTTTTCTGACAAGACTCTACCCTGTACCTCACTACTTCTTCATGTATTTATAAAAAAATAAATAAAAACTGGCTCTGTTTGGAAAGCTGTTTTTCTCTGAATGAAAAATGTATGATGTATATACGCAAAATTCACCCCCCGCCTCCCACCCACACCAAATAAAATGATGCAAAAAGGCATTGCAAAATGTATTTATTATGTGAATGAAAAATGTATTTTGTTTTAAAATATCACAGTGTGTGTGTGTGTTTATTTATAATTTTCAGTTCTGCATCCAAAGTAAATGGCATTGTTTCCTTCATGCGCCACTGTTTCTAAACATATAATGACAAATATGTTCATTTGTTTTCATATTGCTGCAAAACCGTTTAGAATACTATATTTCGAAATTGGTTCTGCATTTGCTTTTAATCTTGACATTGCTCATCCAGCGAGACCTTGGAGAGCTCAGGTGAAAAAGATCTTGAAATAACAAATATATCCACACTAATTTGATCATTATTCATGTTTAATATGATATCTCATACTCACTTGAGAAATTAATAAATGATTGCAAAGATGGTCATTCATTGAACGGCTACATGGTTTTTATTTTTAAATGTTTATGCGTTTTATTTTTGAAACATTTTTGTCAGTTCATTTTTGTGTCAAATTACAGCATCTTTCAAGGCAATAGATTTAAACTAAAAATGAATTGGAAAAATGAATAAAATACAAAAAAAACAAAACAGACTGTAATCTATTCACTAACATTTTACAGCATAAATTCCAATGAATACTTAAGTACCTACAGTGCAATAACATCACACATGAACAATATACTGCTGGAATTAATCTGCTTAAGATAAATAAAGAGCGGTGAAATCTGCCGTGTTGAATCAAGCAATACATGATTACATCTTGAGCCAGCAAAAAGAAAAAAGGGCCATATTTCCTGTAGACACACACACATATATATATAGATAGATATGTTTTTACATCATTAGCACGCAGTAATTTAGTAATAAATGCTTTTAATGAAGATCATTTCGATAATAAAATACAGGCCTTATTCTATATTGATACATTTATTTTTTAGCAAACAATTACAAATAATTTGCACAAATTTATTTAATCTCTGTTCTGTGTTTAGTCAAATAAAAAAAGAGCATGAGTCAACATATAAGGATTCTTGAGTTCAGAGGAACTAAATGGGTGTTTGGTTCACCTTGCTTCAAAAATACTGAAGATATATATATGTATACATGCATTTGCCCACCGATGGGTGTTTTCTTTTTGCTTTAGGGATTTTTTTACATTTATTTATTTTATTATATATATATTTTTTCTGGCTGCAAATCATGAAATGAGACTAAAGCACACCTTGTAGAGGACAAACATTCAGAAAGGGCTCTTAGAGAGCATTTGTCCGCTCTGTGTCTCATGTGTGCTGTGAAGGAAGCTCAGGTAAACTCTTGGCCGTCCTGACAGGTGTGTTGCTGGGCGACAGTGACTAACACAGACAGCATTAGCACACATCAGTGAGCGGAGCTCCATCCCAGCTGCTGCAGGCCTGACTCCACATATCCAGCAGTCTAACTGCATGTGTTTGCAGTGCCTCTTGCATATTATGAGACATTAAATACATTGGAAAAGTTGACATCCTTGTGTGACTTACAATATTCTAACTTCATTTTATAAACACTTTAACTCTTGGTGTATATGTACACACAAAAAAACAATGATGTAGAAACAATCTTCACTCGGAAATTTGACAATTGCAAAGACACTGCAAGTTACACATTAAATTAAATATGCCATTTTGAAGTAGAAAAACGGAAATAATATTTTCTTGTAAAATGTACTCCAATACAAAAAGATTATTTTATTTTATTGTAGTATATTTGAAAAGAAAATACTATGTCAGTCTTTCTACTTAAAAAATTTGAAAAACTTTTAAGCAATTGTTTATAATTATATATATGACTTTTTATACACTATATATATATATATATATACAGACTTCGCTAGCATCTTGTGAGTTTCACAAGTCTGTATGTATATATATATATATATATTTACATACAGACTTTTGAAGTCTGAGACTTGTGCTATTATGTTGTCCAGACTCAGTGAAGTGACGTGAGACCAAGTATGGTTACTCATACTCGGAATTAGTGCTCTGCATTTATCCCATCCTAAGTGCACACACACAGCAGTGAACACACACACACCGTGAACACACACCCGGAGCAGTGGGCAGCCATTTATGCTGCGGCGCCCGGGGAGCAGTTGGGGGTTCGGTGCCTTGCTCAAGGGCACCTCAGTCGTGGTATTGAAGGTGGGAGAGAACGCTGTACATTCACTCCCCCCATCTACAATCCCTGCTGGTACGAGACTCGAACCTGCAACCTTTGGGTTACGAGTCCAACTCTCTAACCATTAGGCCATGACTTCCCACCATCATACCAGTACCATCATACCAGTACCATCATAATTATGAGTTTGTAAGTAAAGATCTTCTCACGTAAAAATCAGCACACACATGAAATATATATTTTGGATTAGAATCTGCATTAGAAAATATTTCAATGCATGAAAATATACCAAAGCACATCAAAGTGGAAAAACAAATCCAGTTGACCTCAAAGACACTGCTTGGTGCTTGGTGAGTGAAGTGTGGCCCTTTGACTGCATTCGAGATGTTTCCTCACACATCCTGTGTAAAATACTTCAGACGGAGATATCTGTGTCTTGGTCTGAGCGAGAAACGGCTCTGGCAAATGTAACCTTTACGTCTGATTATTGAGTGGCAGAAGCGTGAGATCAGAGGGAGGAAGATTATTTCTACTTAACGGGGTTTCAGTCTTGTTTCCTAGTCATACATTTGATTATCCCTCTCTAACAGCTGGCTGCAGTGTTTGTACTCGGTTAGGTTTTATAATTGTGTGAAAAAGAAATGGAGCCAGTAAATGAGGACATGAGTGTAAGCTTGCTGGTTCTCACAGCACGTTTAGAGAGAGCCAATACATGAAAACACTCCGACAGTAATAAGACAAACTGTTTCTTTCACCTATCCTTTACTTTAAGGCTAGTTAACATGAATAACTCCAAAGCAATTAGAGCTGTACTTTCCAAAATAAATAAATAAGTGAATACAGGGATGTGTAATGCATGTGTAACGCAAGCCCAATACAGATCTACAGAAATATACGCAAGTCTGATGTTTCCCCACAGTTGGAAAAGCAAGCAAACAGAGGTGCACATTTCCCTGCTGTCACCCTCAAAGAAAGACAAGAAGGCGCAAATGCAGATTGGCTAATCCTGTAGCGTTTACAGCCGGGCTTAGGAGCAATGTACCCCACCGAAACCAGAGAGCCTTGGTGTAGCTCAGCCCAGACAGGTGAAACCCTGCTGGTGCCTTTAAATGTGTGTGGGGCACAAATGCTGAAAACACCATGTGTTACATTCTCCACACCAGCCGCACAAACATACACGAACAACATATTAAAATGTGAATATTGAGCGCTGACTAATACAGATGGGCATGAAAAAAGTGCAGTCTGTCCATCATATAAATCCTGTAAAAAAAAAAAAATTATATATACTATAAAAAATATTACATACTGTATATATCAATTTATTTATTGGACCTATACTTTATACTAGGTGTTTTTAACAGCTAGGTACTTACTTTCAAAAACGATAAAACTGTGTGGTACTTGAAAGCTTACTACACGATCTCACAGGAAAACGTAGCTATTTTACAAGGTGGCAATTTCGTATGAGTTTGCTTGCTGTGAATTGTGTAAAAACATATGGTTTTAGAAACAAAATAAGCATAAATATCCACCCCACCCTTAAACATAACCGTCAGAGGGGTGTATAAAGATACAAGCTTGTACAAATTAGCCACCAATTCACTAAACTGTAAACTATTTACAAAATGCCATGAGATTGTGTTGAAATGTTGATGTTTATTGTGTGCATACATTGTAACTACGTTGTAACGGAACACGGATGGCCCAAATATACTTTGGCCTTAATTCCTATGAATTAAGTTAGGTTTCGGGGGAGGACCGTCATACTTAAAATTTTTCGGAAAATCGTACATTTTCTTACGAATCACATGGTTGGAATTCATATGAAATGCTAATTTATTTTCATTATTTTGGCCCTTTTTAATAGCCGAAAGACAGGAAATGATGGGGAAGAGGATGAGGAAATGAGAAATGTTTCACTTCCGTCACTCAAAGTGTTGGAGCAGTAACACTTCATTTTAAGGACGAATTCTCGCTATTAACTAGCTGCTTATTAGCATGCATATTACTAACATATTGGCTGTTTATTAGTACTTCTAAAACATTCATTAATGCCTTATTCTGCATATCTTAGATTCCTTAATCCTACCCCATACCCAAACTTAACAACTAACTTACTAACTATTAATAAGCAGCAAATTAGGAGTTTATTGAGGGAAAACTCTTAATTAATAGTGAATATGTGATCCCTATTCTAAAGTGTTACCATGCTTGGTAAGGCAAATACTATAGCTAAACATAACTAAAATGACTAACGCATTCCTCCATTAATGCTTCATGGTAAATGTGTGAATGATTCTGTTCTGCATGTGTGAGATTTGAATAAAGACCAATCATGGCTCACTTGGCTCACACGTCTGTAATGCGTTTGTGTGTGTGAGTGACTTTGATTCGTTTTTGTCTTTTATGTTCTCATTGAGCCCTCTGTTCCCAATTTCACGCACAATTTCTAAACAGCTTTTGCCCGTGGGTTGTTTTCACAACCTTTCCTCTCTAATGCTAGTGAATCCTGAAACACCTCCGCTGTGTTTTCTCAAGGCAGACTGCTCTCATCTCCCTCTCATACCGCATCAAAGCATGGCTTAAGTCTGATTGCGCGGGAAAACCCCTCTTATCCGCTGCAATGCTTTCATTGGTCTTCATGGGTGGGACTGGCGTTATGTTGTGCTCAGGACAAGAGAAATGCAACACAGCTATTTGAGCCTCCTTGTACTTGTGTGATCCAAACATGGCTTTTTTCCCTATAAAACAGTGTGGATAGCTATGCCTGCATATAAAGAGTCAAACATTAATAACAAATCAAGTGAAATGTCAGTTGTTAGCAATGCTTGGACAGCATTGGAGCGTTACTTGTTTGTCTCAATGTTTCATCTTCAGAAGCGACTGCTTGTGACATTGATGCTTTGCCATTTTACCTTGGTGGGCTGTCTGTTTGCAAGATCTCGGGTGAGATCTAAATAGAGTTCTGCATGGTAATGAATTAAATATTAATTAATATGATACTACGTGTAGCATGATGTGGTGTTGATGTGTTATGCCCAGACTGTTATACCCTGCCTGGCATGCGATAGATAAATACATTTAAAAAAAAGACCAAAGCGTTCTGAAAACTTTTGCCATCAGGTCAATGCTAATTATGCACTACAGCAGGGGTCTCCAAACTCGGTCCTGGGGGGCCAATGTACTACAAAGTTCAGCTCCAACTCTAATTAAACACACCTGAAGCAGCTAATAAAGGTCTTACTAGGCATGCTAGAAACTTCCAAGCAGGTGTGTTGAGGCAAGTTGAAGCTAAACTCTGCAGGAAACCGGCCCTCCAGGACCGAGTTTGGACACCCCGGCACCACAGGATAAGAAAAAAGACCTAAATAATGAAAATATAATACATGTACATGGTTTCAAAAAAATTTAATTTGTCAAAAATACATTTCTTTTTATTAAAATTTTTTAAAGGGGTCATATGACATTGCTCAAAAAGAACATTATTTTGTGTATTTGGTGTAATGAAATGTGTTTATGCGGTTTAAGGTTAAAAAAACACATTATTTTCCACATACTGTACATTATTGTTTCTCATCTATGCCCCGCCTTTCTGAAACGCATCGATTTTTACAAAGCTCATCATTTTGAAAAGCGAGGTGTACGCTGATTGGCCAGCTATTCAGTGCATTGTGATTGGCCGAATACCTCAAGCGTGTGATGGAAATGTTACGCCCTTTATACTGTGATGCCGTGTCCTGGCGCGATGAGACAAAACCAATAAAACCCATTATAAACGAGGCATTTGTTGCATCCAGTGGGGACATAATTACTGATTATAATGACTTATACTGTCTTTTTACGCGTTGCGTTGTGTATCGCGCCGCGTAAACATAAAACCATGTCTACATTTGTGATC